ATTGAGGGATCACTATCCGGGAGTAATAATCCCTTCAAATAAATAAACTAAAATAATTTGGTAACTCAATCCACGATTGTTTGTGGGACACTGCTGTGTACAATTGGCTGTCGCGTTTCGCCCATAAAATATACAGTCAATACACTTTACAGTATATTCTGTACAGAGTTTTGAGATGTCTCAATTATGTGATAAGGCACTTTATCAAATGCAAGGATTATTATTATGATTGTTATAAAATTAGATGCAAACCGCGAATCTCAAGCAATTTGTGTTTCACAGAAATCATGTCTGACGGTCCAGACTGTTCGAAATACAATGCCCTCAGGCTCATATATTGTATTAATAACATGTGGGTATTAGATTTGCCTAAGCCACTGGGCACTCCTGTCAGACACGTCTAAGGAAGAGCAATCATAGTCTGTACATGTGACACAGCACCTTTCAAGTTGGGAGGACATTTCAAAGTGCACTTCACAAGATTTGCTGGAAAGTAGCAACTGCGTATTTTGCAGGAGAACATGTCAAGCAGTTTGCATTCACTAATGTCCCACAAACAGCCAAGAAAGTGAATAAATAATATTATCTTGCGGGAGGGGGTTGTGGGTCATGACATCCCTTCAAAGAAATAATAATAATAATAATAATAATTTGGTACTCAGTCCATAACTGTTTGTGGGACATTGCTGTGCGCCATTGGTTGTTGTGTTTCGCCCACAAAATATACACTTTACAGAATATTCTATGAAGTACTTTGAGATGTCTCAACGACATGATAAGGTGCTATATCAAATGCAAGGATTATTATTATTATTACTTCGATTATTATGAATATTTATAGTAGTTGCTGCTACCCACCAACACTCATGACATGTTCATGCGACTGCCAGGATGGTGGAAGGTGAACTGGATGGACCTTGGTCTTCTTTAGTCTCACAATTCCTATGTTCTTAGGTTCTTATGAATTGTTATTATTGTTAACCTGAATTCATGGTGCACTGTTTGAGCCGTGTGAAAAAACTGATGCTTGATTTGCATCAAAGAAAACGTTGGTTGAAATGCAATAAAAAGTGAGCCTGGCATTTTCAGCAAAACGATAGCTATGTCAACAAAGTCATTGGCTATATTGAGGTGCTGGCCCCGTCTAGTTGAAAAATGTCTATTGTGCTGACTGGCTTTCTCGTAGTACCTGACATTTGGTTTGTTCAGACCTTGAATTTGTGGGGCAGACAGAGAATAGGAGCTTCTCAATTCATTGCTAATGGGTTGCTGACGTCAGGACATCAACTCACAGTCTAGACTGATGCTCCAATGCAGCATTAGGGTAGCACTGCACTGTTTGTGGCACCATCCTTTGTATGAGACGTTAAACCGAGTTCCCCATTTGTGCCCGTTCAGGTGGATGTTACACATCCCATGCCACTATACAAAAAGAAAAGGGAGTTTCTCCTGGTGTCCTAGCCAACAAATTCCCCCTCCCCCTGTCTCTCCCCCAAGATAAAATTGGTTAATCACTTCACTGCCGTTCATAGAACATTGCTGCGTGCAAATTGCTGCCCTCAAATACACAGCCAACTATACTTCACAGCAAAGATTTTAACACATCTTAACGAAGTTATAAGGCACTGACTCAAATGCCTGTATCTTTGTCTGACACTCAGTTTGAAACCTGTGCTCGTTTGAACTCGCCAAGCCATTGAATTAGATTTTAAGCACACTAACCTTTACATTGTGTCAGTCAATGAAGATTTTTTTTCTTAAACATTGCAAACCTCTCCACAGCATGAATTATTTTCTCTCTTGGAAACATCCGCCTTTACTTTGGAAATCAGGATAAATGGGAAAACATAAAAATGAGTTCAGGTCAAACGTGACAGGAATGAAGTAACTAACATTCAGGTGCAACATTTAGTTGAAGCATGAGCAACCGAGACTATACGGAAAAAAAGGGGGAAAAAAATTGGAAACTTTCAAACAATATCAAATCAACGTTTTGTAATGTACTTGTCGCAAGGAATAAGGGAAACTAAGTGAAACTCAAGTAGGATGCTTGAAATTGTTGAAATTAAATTTGAAATTAAATTTGCTCTGCTATCACTGATCAGCGCTTTCGCAATCGTGATCGCCAACTATTGTCTCCAAAAGAATGTACTCCCAATTCCCTTTCATTGTTTCTGGAGTGCTGTAGCCTAGTGGATAGCGCACTCGTCTCACAAGCTTGTTTGATTCCTGGACAGGGTGAAACCTTAGGCAAGTTTCCTTACTCCGCACACCTCTGTTTACCTAGCAGTAAGTAGGAACCCGGTTGTCAGTTGATTGACGGTTCGCTTTTTGGGGTTAATAATCCCTCCCCCCCAAAAATAATAATTAGGTCACTCAATCCACGACTGTTTGTGGGCATTACTGTTCGCAATCGGCTGCCGCATTTTTGTTCATTTCTCTTGACAGTCTTACCAATTTCTTAGCCTCTATGGATGAGCTTCCCAATTCAGTGCCACTGACAGTGTCAAGCAACGAGCATGCACATCTGTGTTGTGGACTGCTGCCCACTGAGAGATTATTTCTGATGAACCGGCTGAGTTGTGGTTTGGCGGATGGAACGCGATGATAGTTTTGACTGATTAAGTTTCAGCTTTCGCTGTGGAGCGAGACCAGAGAAGGGGACACAGAAGTACGTTGAAGATTGTCAAATTGATAAGGTAGAAAAAGCATTGAGAGTGGCGTAAAGAGGGGAGAAATACATACAGATACACGCAAACATAGCTCTCAGTGTTTGGGTGTCAGCCTGGCCTAGTTGGTAGAAGCACTCTAGCCTCTGAATCAAAAGGCTTTAGATCCCCTCCTCCACTGAAACTTAGAGCTCACAGTCAAATGTGGCACCCGAACTGTATTGTCATGGCTGCCGTCCTTTGGATGAGATGTTAAACTGAGATCCCGTCTCTGCCTGTGGACTGTTCAGGTGGAACGTTAACGATCCTGTGACCCTATTCGACAAGCGAAGGGAGTTTGCACATGTATGAGGACGTGCCGACAGTAACCCAGATAAAGGAAAAATTGGTCATTCACGTCGTGGTTGTGTGCGGAGCGTTGCTGTGTGCAGATTGTCTGTAGCAGTCGCCCACAAAATACACAGTCACTGCACTTGATAGTGAATCACACAAAGAGCGTTGAGATGTTCCGACGACAAGGTACAGTGTCAAGTACGAGGCATATTGTTATTAAGATTATTGAAAGCTTTCTGGAACAAATGCTTCTTTCAATTCACATCTTTTCCTTTTGATCCCGTTATAGAGATATCTCAGTCGGGAGAGACAGGGGGGACGGGGGTGGGGAGAGGAGCTATCGATCTCACTTTAAAGATTGTTTTGCTTGTGTGTTTAAACCTTTAAATTCAATAATTCAATTGCATCCGGATGCCCACCAACCCCCCCACCCCACCCCCCCGGGAGAGACATTGCATGCAGTACGTGGTTTGTTCATTCAGGATCAGCCTGTTTCTTGCCACTCTCTTTCTTGCTTCCCATCTGGAAGAATCATTAAGGAACCAAAAATTTTTCACTTTTTCAACTAAACAGCGGCAGCAGGTAGCTGTACCTCTGGAAGGGCTCAAGTTGATAAGTGAGGAGGTACTCTTTGACCTGTTTTGCATTGGCTCACGGCTTGAGTACATTTGTAAGCATGTCTGGTTATGTTTTGAGGCTCTTTTTGTCATGCAAATTTCGCTCGCTTGCTCAGGGGATAGAGAGTGTGGAATTCGACTTGTTGGCGTGTGTGTGTGTGTGTGCGGGGGGAGGGGGGGGGGAGGGGGTGGGGTGGGGACCTTTGTGCATTAATCTCTCTGCAATATCCCTTTGCATGACAGCAGAGTGCCCTCAGTTCATTCTGCCAAAGTTGTTCCCTTGTTCACAAGTACTTTGCAGACTGCTGCACCACATGATTGAAACAACATAGCCCCAAGCGATTACCAACCATTGATCGGTTGAAGCACATAGATCTCAGAAGTGCAACAGCAGGGTCCACACTTTCACTTCCATTGCAACAATAATACTAATAATAATAATTTAATATAGTTTTATTATGTTTTTGAGATGCTCAAAGCGCTTCACGTGATATACTGCAAAGTGGATTGACTATATTTTATGGCTGAAACGTGGCAGCTAATTATAATTGGGCCCAGCAGTGTCCCACAAGCAGTCATGGATTGAGTGACCACATTTTTTATTTTTTTTAACATATTGTCACTTTGTTTGCCTTGCCTTTTGCAGCAGTGAATTGAGAACAGACTTTTCCTCTATTTTCTGGTCCAATCAGCGGAGATTTTTACCATCTGAATTTTCGCTAGAGAAGAGACGGTTAAAGGGAACTTTAATAGAAGTGTTCGATAAGGTTAACATAAATAGTCTGGTTCCATGTTTCCACTGGTTGGGGAGTCCGTAACCAGGGGGCACAGATATAGGAATAGCGACTAGGGGATCTAAAAGAGAATTTAGGAGGAACTATTTCATGCAGAGAGTTGTGAGAGTGTGGAACTTGCTGCCTGAAGCGGTGGTTGAATCAGATAGTGTAGATGAATTCAAGAGGAAGCTAGATCTTCATGAGGGAGTGGGGAATAAAAGGATATGAGAGGGAGCAAGAAGCGGGGGAGACTTGTGTGGAGTATAAACACCAGCATGGACTGGTTGGGTCGAGTGGCTTGTTTCCATGCTGTACAGTCTTTATAAATCTTTGTAAACCTTCCTATTGCTAAACCCACCCCTCAATCCTGCAGGCTAATTTACTATTCAATCCACGAGCCTCAACTGTCTGTGAAAATCTCATTCCTGAAGCTTTTATCAATTATCTTTTGAAAATCCAAATGAATTATATCTACTGAGGGGGCTTCATCCACAGCTTTGATTATCTCCTGAAAGAATACCAGAGGATTAGTGAGTCATGACTTATTTCTTTAAACTGCTTCTAAATCTATGCTGACTGTTTCTTCTTGTCTCCAACCTCTTCAGATGAGCATTGATAGCACTCCAGTCCTTGGAAATCCTGGACTATTTTCACGCTCCATGGCTCTTAACCTAAGTGGTCAACATTCTGTAAGTTTTACTCTCATTCCTTTCCTTAAAATCACAATAACTCACCTTCTCTCGATCTCCGCCACAGTTCCCATGTTTGTTGAGCTTCCAATACTCGGAATCATGTAATGTAGTGCTCACTTCGCAAGCGAGAAGGCCCGGGTTTGGATTCCCGGGCGGGGCGAAACCTTAGGCAAGTTTCCTTACTCTACACCCCTCTGTTTCCCTAGCAGTAAGTAGGAATCCAGTTGTTAGTGATTGGTGGATCGCTTTCCAGGGGTAATAATCACTCCAAAAAAATATGGTCACTCAATCCACGCCTGTTTGTGGGATACTGCTGTGCGCAATTGGCTGCCGCGTTTTGCCCACAAAATACACAGTCAATCCACTTTAAATTATATACACAGTCAATCCACCTTTTAAAATAAGGTGTTATATCAAACTTAGGGATCATTATTATTATTATTTATTACTAAAATCGGTGGGGTGCCATGTCCTTTCACAGCCAATCTTGCTCCAATGACATTCTCTGTGGTGAATGCAAGAGGGGAACATGAAGTCACTTTGAGGAATCTCAACCCGTTTCCCACTGGACCCAAATTAAACCTAGCGCACAAAGCTTCCTATAATCCGCTACAAATTGACGCTCAGTTGGTTGGTTCCCTCTGTAAAGAGAGTTGGTGTGGAGAATGGGAATGTCACGCTGGCTCAGTAAGGGGTACCCTTCTGGAGTTGTGAGGCCAGGGCAGGGAGATCTCCACTATGCAGAGAGCTTCTGCTTATTCTCACCAGTCTTCGGTGCGCTATCTCGGAATGTCTCAAGTGTCTGAGTCTTAATAATAATGATATTATTATAATAATAATCCATGCATTTGATATGGCACCTTATCACGTCTTCTTCAAGACGTCTCCAAGCGCTTCACGGAATACTCAGTAAAGTGAATTGACTGTATATTTTCTGGAAGAAACGCAGCAGCCAATTGTGCACAGCAATGTCCCACAAACAGTTGTGGCCATATTTTTTTAAAAAAGGGATTATTAGCCTCGGAAAAATGATCCGCCAGTTGACTAACAACCGGGTTCTTACTTACTGTTGGTAAACAGAGGTGTGTGGAGCAAGGAAACTTACATAAGGTTTCGCCCCGTCCAGGAATCAAACCCAGATCCTCTTGCTCGCGAGGCGAGTGCTCTAACCGATACGCTACAGGATTTAAGAAGGAAATCGGTGATGGAGGGATAGCATTCTGTAATTAATCTTTGTGCCGTTGGGTCAAAGCAATTGCACGACAATGATTCATAGTCATAACAACCCTTGCATTCGATATCGCGCTTCTTCACATCGTGAGGATGCCTCAAAGCGCTTTGCGGGATTTTACTGTAAAATGAAGTGACTGTGTATTTTGTAGGTGAATGCATCAGCCAGTTTGTGCACAGTTTTGCCCACAAACAGCCATAAAGTGAATGACAAATTTTATCTGATGGGGGATTGATTGTCAGCCAGGATTCCAGGAGCGAAAAACTCGCTTCTCTTTTCCAACAACGCCGCAGGATCTTTAACATCCACCCGAACAGGCGCAGACAGGAAAAAAAAGGTTCCTGTAATTTACAGACGATTGCTCTGTAGTCCTGAAGGGATGCCTACTTGCCTAATTATATCACACGTTGTATACTGGGAAGCCACCTGACTTCATGTCCCAGCACTAAAACGAGTTCAAAAACGGAAAGGAAAAGGCACAAGCACAAACCTACACTAATTGTGTTCTTAACCATCTCCCCACCACACACACACACACACACACACAATTACAGACCCCAGAGAGCGGGGGTTTCTGAATTTATCCCCTTTATTCCTCCCCACCTGCCCCTCCCCCGCCAAACCAATCCTCACCGTTGATCTGCTGAAAGGCGTGTCAGTCAATGCCCTCCAGTTATTAACTGCTCCGAATTGCTCCGAGTTAATAATAATAATACTAATCTTTGCATTTGGAACAGCGCCCTATCAGGACATACTGTAAAGTGGATTGACTGTGTATTTCGTGGGCGAAACGCACAAACCAATTGAGCACAGCAGTATTCTACAAATAGTCATTGATTTAACGACCACATTTTGTTTAATATTGTGGGTAAAGAGTTGGGGGGAGCGGGATATGTTGAAGAATATTTGGCCCGCATGAGTGCAAGATGTAGTCTAATTGTCACAAATGCTTTTCTTTCGCTCTGTGTATAGATAGAGCCTGAAAAAAGACAATCCATTGGAGAACACACCCTTCCTCGTGAAAATATTGAACTATTCAGCCTGAAGATCAACTGCGGACATCATGTCCTCATTCACCTTGCTCATTCCCCGTGACAATGGAACTGCAGGTGCACTTATCCTCGATATGATAACTGGCGCGCGGAGATATTACTTTTGCTTTTAATGTTAATGCTAATGAATTAATATGCGGACACCAATCTTTGACATAAAGTACCCTGCGCTGACTGAAAACGACTGTAACACATTATGACCAGATCCACAATAAAGAGTCATGATAGATAACTATTCTTGTCTTAACATGGCAATGCCGTCATAACTCACGAGTTCCAAGGCGCTGAACAATCAAGAATTTGCACCCGAGCTGGGGGTTGGGTTAAGGAAGGGTGGAGGGCAGGGAGGGTGGGGGTAGGAGGATGACCAAAGGCGCGGTTGAAAAGGAAGGTCTTGAGACAGACCTTGAATGGTACAGCCCCTTATCACGTCAGGAGGACAGCTCAAAGCTCTTCAAAGGATTCACTGTGAAGTGTAGTGACTGTGACCTTATTTTTCTAGGCAGGTGCAACAAGCTAACAGTTATATATGGAGGGCGTGTGTTTTAAGGACCCAGAGAGATGAAGGAACTTTTCAACCCAAAAGACATGGTATAACGATTATCAAGTTCCCACAAATTGTAATTTCCTGCCACAGACTCCGAAGGGTTATCGGGATCTATTCTGTCTAGTCTGACATTTTTTGGACCAGATAATCCATTGTAGGAGTACTTTTGTCTCAATTCCACATGGAGTGTTTTGAGACCTGGCAATGAGAGAGACACAGGCGATTATTTTTTTTGGGAGGATAAAAATAACACAAGGCTATTGTGGAGTCCTGTAGCATATTAATTACAGCACTCGCCTCGCAGGAGAGAAGACCCGGGTTCGATTCCCGGGCATGGCATATCCTTAGGCATGTTTCCTTATTCCATCTATCTCTGTTGACCTAGCAGTAAGTAGGAACCTGGTTGTTAGGCGATCGGCCGATCACTTTCTGGGGGCAATAATCCCTCTAAAAAAATAATAATAATTTGATCACTCAATCCCTGACTGTATGTGGGACAATTGGCTGCTGCGTTTCGCCCACCAAGAACAGAGTCAATCCACTTTACAATATATTCTATGAAGCACTTTGGTAATGACATGATAAGGTACTGAATCAACTGCAAAGCTTACTATCATTATTATTAGTAGTAGTATGGTATATTTGCAAGTCAAATCCGCACAAAGCTTTACATTAAGTCGACGTGTCAAAGCTTGCGTTATATTTCAAAGGTTTGTTTACTGTATGATGAATGAAATCAGCTAGCGTGTCGAGCTGAAGAGGAATATTAAGGAAAGCGAAATGGAGTTCAGAAACAGCCATAAATCCCTAACTGTGGAACTAAAGGCTGCAGACAACCATTTCCAGCTCCTTTGGACTTAGGCAGATTTTGGAGACTGCTAAGCTTGTGAGATTTGCTTATGTGCTTGGTCATGTGGTGCTTTGCCTGCGCCTGAGCAATGTCAGGATAAGGAAAAATATCAGTCCCTGTGAATGGGTGCGATGTATTATGTTTCCATCAACAAACAAAATGTCCATTTCCTCTTCTATGTAAAGCTTCCTACGCACAGCAAACATGGGCCTGCTGCTCTGTTCCTCACTCACTGAGGGAAGCCAAGCCTTGGGGTTGAGGTACAGATCAGCCATGATCTAATTGAATGGCAGAACAGGCTCGAGGGGCTGAATGGCCTACTCCTTTTCTATGTAACCCCTGTGTCTCTCTCCTTCTCTATCTCTGTCTTCAAAGGCCTGTGGTCACCTCAACTGCACACTGCTCGGAGCTGTCACCACCCTTATTTAAAGCGCTCTGAGACGCGAAGGCGCTATATATACACAAGTTGCCATTCCTTACTTTGAGGATAACTTCAGATAATACTCTCAATAATAATAATACTCCTTGCATTTGATATAGCACCTTATTACCTCATTGAGAAGCCTTAAAGCGCTTAACAGAACACGCTGTTAAGTGCACCGACTGCATATTTTGTGGGCGAAATGCGGTAGCCAATCACACATAGCAGTGTCCCACAAGCAGTCGTGGATTGAGTGACTTTTTTTTAAGGGATTATTATCACCAGAAAGCGATCTGCCAACAACTGGGTTCTTACTTACTGCCAGGTAAACAGAGGCACATGGAGTAAGAAGACTCACCTAAGGTTTCACCCCGCCCGGGAATCGAACCCGGATTCTCTTGCTTGCGAGGCGAGCATGCTAACCACTATGCTACAGGACTCTACCTTTCTCCACCTTTCCTACAGGACTTTTATCTTTGTCCAAGTCACAACCATTCTGCACAATTCATAGTAATGCGAGAAGCAACAACAACAATGTACGATTATATAGTGCCCTTCACGCAGTGTCGTGTCTCAGAGAGCTTCAAGCTCAAAGCAGCTTTACAATCGCATGGGCCCTGATCAAACAGACTCATTATTTGGTCTTAACACTTCCCTAGTCCCCGAACATCGCCCTTCTTTCATCGCGTGATAAGTTGTTATGGCTGCCTCGTTGCAACTCTCTTTAAAACCAGAGCATGGCCTGATGCCTCTGGCTCTGTGCTGTGGTGACATTGGATGTAAACATTGCATTAGTGATCAATGGAGTGTGATTATGAGAGAGCCCAGGCAATAGGAAACATTTAAGGCAGGCAAGAATGCCATCCTTCTCCATAGCAGATCACGTGAGCACTACACACACACACACATACACACAGACGCACACAGGGACATTAATACTTACAAGGCAGAAAGTTTATCAGGTTTTTTTTTAAGGTGTTTTCTGTGATTTACCACAAACCAAATCGCCCCCAATGTAACAATACTTAGTTATAACATAGGTGCACAAATTGGCTACATGCCAGGTGTCAGTCTGGCTCAGTCGGTAGCACTCTCGCTCTCGCCTTTGAGTCAGAAGGTTCTGGGTTCAAGCCGTCACATCAGGACTTTGAGCTCACAGTCGAGGTTGACACTCCAATAGAGTGCTGGGGGCAGTGCTGCATTGCGGAGGTACCGTCCTTTGGATGAGACGTTAAACTGAGCTCCCTGTCTGTGCCTGTTCAGGTGGGTGTTAAAGATCCTGTGGGGGTATATCCTTCCATTTGATATTGTGCCTTTCACGTGTAAAAGCGCTTCACAGTAATGTGAAGTGAATTGGTTTTGTATAGGTAAACGCAGCAGCCAGTTTGAACATGGAAACATCCCCGCAAACAGTCATGACCATTTTAATCCAGGTGATTGTTGAATGGGACCCCCTCCTCTTTTTCCATGAGGTCTGCAAGCATTTTTAGCATTTTCCCGAACTGGCTCAATGGGGCAGCTCAGTTTGACTCACAAATAAAACGCGAATGAGAAAGATATAAACGATCGTGAAACATCGAAATTCACTTCTAATGGAAAATAAGATAACTAAAAATAAAACACACGAGGCTGTAAAAGGAAACTACAACTTTTAATATTGGAAAATGTGCAATAAAGTGGTGACTTGCGTAACGCATTGGCAGGCAATGGTTGTGGGAGATCCCTTTAAGAAGTTAAAGGGCAATTAAGACAGAGCGAATGAACAACAACAACACATTACATTTGTATAGCGCCTTTCACACCAAGAGGATGTCCCAAGACGCTGGATAGTCAGGGATTTGGACCCGAGCTGGGGGTTGGGATTAGGAGGGGTGGAACAACAGGGAGGGTAGGGGTAGGAGGGTGGCCGAAGGCACAGTCGAAGAGGAGAGTCTTGAAATGGGCCTTGAAAGAGACGACGGAGGGAGCGAGGCGAAGGGCCTATGGGATGGAGTTCCAAAAGGTGGAGGCAGAGAGGATGAAGACCCAACCGCTGATGGGAGGGATTATTACCCCCGGAAAACGATCCGCCAAACGATTAACAACTGGATTCGTACTTACTGCTTCGTAAAAGTAGGTGTGTGGAGTAAGGAAACTTAGCTAAGATCTCGCCTCACCCGGGAATCGAACCCGGGTCCTTTCACTTGCGAGGCAAGCGTTCTAACCACTACGCTACAGGACAGTGAGTAGAAGGCTTTCTCCTGACATGACAAGGCGCTGTACCAGACGCGAGAGTTATTTTGTTTTACTGTGTACGGCGCCAAGTTTCTGCATGTCGTAAGATGTTCCCCCACCACCCCCCATTCCCCCCCCTTCCACCCCCCCGTCCCTCCGCAGGCTTGTGACACTTCCTGTTTACTCTTCGTGATGCACTGATTTTTATCAATGTTCTTACAGAAACCACACACTCAAAAATTGCCTGCACCCATGAAGCTAGAGACAAGGGTCACAGAATAATATTTATAGGACATGGGAAAATAGGCTTGCAATACACACACACACAAATCTCCCTTCGCCGTGTCATATTAACCCCTTAGGTCATGCAAACCTAGTTTAAGATGTAGACAATGGTCACGCTAGACAGAATAATACTCATAATATTTCTTGCATTTGATACAGCGCCTTATCATGTCGTTGAAACGTATCAAAGTGCTTCAAAGAATATACTGTAACGTGAATTGACTGTTTATTTTGTGGGCAAAACGTGGCCGTCAATTGTGCACAGCTGTGTCCCGCAAACAGTCATGGATTCTATGACCATATAATTTATGTATTTATTTATTGAAGGGATTATTACCACCGGAAAGCGATCCACCAATTGACTAACAGCCGGGTTCCAACTTACTGCTAGGTAAACAGAGGCGTGTAGAGTAAGGAAATTTGCCTAAGGTTTCATCCTGCCCGGGAATCAAACCCAGGTTCTCTCGTTTGCAAGGTGAGTGCTCTAACCAATACGCTACAGGACTCTTATCCTCAGGTAAAACATGCACCCCAGAGTTAACGGGAGGAAGGAGGGGGGGGGGGGAGGGGTTTGCTTAGCCTCAACCTCAATCACTGGCCGGTTTGGGTAAGAGCCAAAAATTGCATTGCACTCGGAGTGCTGCTATTCTGCGTCTGAATTTAAGGTAGTTTTTGGGGACTAATTTGCGAAATCTCTTAACAAGGAATGGGCAGTTATCAAATGGCGGAAAGGTTAGATCTGAATATAATAATAATAAGGATTTACTCTAACGCGCAGTGACTGTGCATTTTGTAAGAGAAGGCGGCAGCCAATTTGCTCACAGCGACGTCCCCACAAACAGTAGCCATGAAGTGAATGTGCGATTTTACCTGAGGAGGGGATTTCTGCCCTGCACATTTTGA